GCTTTATCAATAATTTCAGGTTCAGTCTAGTCTTGTTTCCTCCTAGATAAAATGTATCGATCACATGACAATGCCCAATACAGTTCTGGTTCCACCACCAACCCCCAAATCCCTTAACACTCACAGCTCCCCACAGTGTGGGTTCTCCCTCCCTGCCATGAACAAAACGTCCAACTCTGACTATGCCAGATGTGTTTCTGTGGTCTTTGGTGGAGGGCATTGGCAGTATTACTGTGGAAACCTTTCTTTAAAATGCAACCCAATGTTGAGGGCTTGGTTTGACCTTAGAACCACATCCTTGTATCATTTGCAAAGTTCAGTCATCCCACTTGAATTGTTGTTGTTGTTAAGTGCCGTGGAGTCGGGTCCGACCCATAGCGACCCTGTACAGGGTTTCCGAGGGTGTAAATCTTTACGGGAGTAGAAAGCCTCATCTTTCTCCCGCGGAGTGGCTGGTAGTTTCGAACCGCTGACCTTAAGGTTCGCAGCCCGATTTGTAACCACTACGCTACCAGAGCCCACTTGAATTAGAGGCAGCAAAATCCAAACCCAAACTGCCATCAAGTCAGTTCCGACTCACAGTGACCCCGTATATACGGTTTCTAAGGCTGTACATTTTTATGGGAGCAGACAGCCTCACTTTTCTCCCTTGGACCAGCTGGTGGCTTTGAGCTGCTGACCCTGTGGTTAGCAGTCCAGTGTTTATCCCACAGTGCCACCAGGACTCTTGTAAGCCTCCTTAAAAGTACCAACAAGGATTAGAGATCGAGAAACATTGCAACTTTGGTGAAAGTAGGTATGGCTTTTTATCAGAATATTCGTTAACCACAAAATACCATCTTAGAAGATAGTAGGAAAACATTCTTAGAACGTAGTAGGTCTGCATCTTACCTAAGACCAAAATGATAATAATATTAGTAAAATCAATCTCATAAAAGTTGCAAGTCCATTGCTTCTGTTGTTAAGTACCATCGAGTGGGTTCCGACCCATAGAAACCCTGTGTAGGATTTCTAAGGAGCAGCTGGTGAGCTTGAACCACTGACCTTGCAGTTCAAACGGTTTTGCAGTCTGACACATTAACCCACAGCACCACACCAGGGCTCCAAATTTGGTGGTGGTGGTAGTGTGCCGTGGAGTTGGTTCTGACTCATAGCGACCCTATATAGGGTTCTGAGGCTGTAAATCTTTACGGGAGCAGAAATCTTCATCTTTATCCTGCAGAACGACTGGTAGTTTCAAACTGCTGACCATGATGAGATTAGCAGCCCGACTTGTAATCACTGAGCTACCAGAGCTCCTTGGACCCCAATTTAGTTGTTCCTAATACGTGGTTACGAATTGGGCTGTGAACCTTAAGGTCAGCAGTTTGAAACTACCAGCTGTTTCGCGGGAGAAAGATGAGGCTTTCTGATCCCATAAAGATTTACAGCCTTGGAAACCCTGTACCGGGTCGATATGGGTCGGAACTGACTCCATGGCACTTAACAACAACAACAACAATATGTAAATGGACTGTGTCAGAAGTTCCTTGAATGCTTGTCTAGAACTTAAAATATGGATTCCAGTAGAAACTACATCAGAAGCAGGGATTAGGGTTAGCCTACTTTCACTAAAGACTATTTCATCTTGAATGTGTACTACTGGTTCAAAGGCACCCAACCACCAATCGTGACACAAGACCCATAGAAAAACCAATCTGTAGTCCAGCTCCAGCTTGTAAAATATCACCATCATCAGCCATAAACATCATTCTAACTGCTGATAACTCAGCTCTACAACTGCAGATGAGGTATGAGCAGGATGTTTGTGGTTGTTAATCACTGTGTGTATATGCAAGTATTAAGTGCCTTCGAGTCAGTTCCAACTCCGAGCGACCTTGTATGGGGTTTCCAAGGCTTCTTAAATATTTACAGGAGCAAAAAGTCTAATTTTTTTCCTGTGGGGTGGCTGGTGGGCTCGAACCTCCAGTCTTGTAGTTCACTTGTTGTAATTGTGATTAAGTGCCGTTGAGTCTGTTCTGACTCATAACAACCTTGTATAGGGTATCCAAGGAGCTGATGGTGGGTTTGAACCAGTGGTTCACTGTCCCGTGCTTATCCTACAGAGCCACCATGTTCCCTGTGAATCACTAGACGTGACAATGCAGGAAGGAAAACGGCCAGGATTGTGGACGGTTACTAGAAAACAGAGGCAATTCAGCCAGCCAGCACCTGAATCCAGTCTCTTCGCTTCCACAACCGTGAGTCTGCAGTCTGCTCTTTAAAACTAGCTCCTTTGTGGCATTTTGTTACGGCAGCCCCAGGAAATAAAGAAAGCAAGTCTCCAACAGATTTTTCGATTCCTTTTTTCTGCATGCTTTTCAGGGGGACAGGGAGAAGACATGAAAAGAAACAAAAAGAAAGCATCTGGAACCTTGCCCATGAAAATCTGTTGTTGTTATATGCCGTGGGGTCAGTTCTGACTCATAGAGATCCTGTACAGGGTTTCCGAGGCTGTAAATCTTTATGGGAGCAGAAAGCCTCATCTTTCTCCCGCAGAACAGCTGGGAGTTTTGAACTGCTGACCGTGAGATTAGCAGCCCGATTTGTAATCACTATGCTACCAGAGCTCCTGAAGAGGAACCTGCTATTCATGGGCCAGAAAAATGAAAACAGGCCAGTCTCTAGTTAGGGTTTATAGCACACACACACACCCCTGAGCCCCCCAGCTCCCTGGCCATCTATGGGAACACTGCCATCAGCTCCTCTCCTGGTCCTTGAGAAAGCCCATCTCTGTGAAGAGTCTCTGGGAGGAATTCTGCTTTGAGCCCTGGCTTCCCAGATCTGTCCCTCCTCTGATGACCTTTATTCTGGACAATGCAGCCACCACTCACTCAAATCCTTCCCCGAGAACCTGGGTGCCAGACATCTCCCTTCTGTGAAAGAGGAGGGAGACAAGACATCTCTCTCTCCTTCTCCCCCTTCACAAGCAATTGAATTATTGTGATTCCGGTTCATTAATCTGTAATCTGTTCATTCACTCATTATACAAATATTGGGATGGCTGGGAGGGAGGGGGGAAGGAAGACACAACACTTTGGGAACTGTTACCCATGATGGAAACATTCAGGAATGGTGATGGCTGAATAACATGATGAACACATTTAATTAATGTCACTGAACTGTACATGTGAAGATTGTTGAAATGGCAAATATTTTGTTCCCTATGTTTACCACAATAAGAGCAACAAAAAATGTGTGCCAACCATATACAATAATGAACTAAATTACATGCCCCAGCTTCTTGGAGCTTACCATTTTGGGAAAAGACTATCAATTTTATTACAGAGCAAGCAGTAAATGCAAGGACGGAGGAAGCAGTGTTCTGAGGATTTTCTCTTGGTAAGGTGTCCCAGGAATCTTCGTGCAGGGGAATGGACAGGGTGAGGCTAGTGCCAATTTCTGGAGGCAAGAAAGGAGTAGGGAATGTGAACTGGCTACAGCTTGGACTTTAGAAAAGGGTTACCATCTTAATCTAGTAACTCCACTGTCCACAGATTTTTCTTGTGCTCAATAAGAAACAAACAAACAAAACTAACCAACCAGTCCTGGTGTGGCGTTCTAGGATAAGCAATGGACTGCTAACCCCTAGGTCGTAGGTTCAAATCCACCAGGTGCTCATCAGAATCTCTATACAGAGGTCGCTATGAGTAGGAACCCACTGGACAGCCCTTAACAAGTATGCTTCTGGAGCGTCTCTTATCTCTCGCCATTCGTTTAGAAATAGTTACTAGGCACCGCCTATGTGCAGCTAGTCCCGGGCTCCCACAGTGTTGCCGCTGTGCGGGAGTTTTGGATCTACTGCAGAAGACAAACCCTGAAGGAGGAGGTCTTGGATATTAACTACTCACAGGCCTCTCTCGCACTGTTCCCAGGGGCTGCCACCTGACCTCTCCCCAAACCTACCTCTGGGCTCTCTGTTCTGCCCAGAGTACCCTTCTTCCCTCGCCCAAGGCTCCAGTGCATCTACACACAACGACCTCCCGGATTGGTCACTCCGGCGGCGCTCAGCCTTCTCCCAGCTCTCAGGGAGCTGAGAGAGGGCAGACTCCGACTACCCAGTCAGCCTCAGCGAGGCAGAAGAGGGCAAGTTTCAGGGCTGGGCTTACTTCCCGCGGGCTGCAGATTGCCCGGTCCTTGGGCCTGAGAGTGCGCGCTTTCCGGAGGAAGGGCACCCTTTGCGGCTGCACGCCGAACCCCTTGGAACAGGGGGCGATCCCCTGGCCGGAGAATGTGTCGGTGAATGCCCCCTCGCACACGTGGACGCAGCCTGGAGGCCCAGGGGACTCTTGCTCCGCAGCCCCGCCTCCGCCACCTTTCCCAGGCGCGGGCGGAGGCGACCGCCGGCCGGAAGCCCCGGTCCAGGCGCAGCCCCCCGCCGCAGTCCGTCTTGACCCCGAGGACACTACGGGCGCTCCCCGCCGCCGCCCGCCCTGAACTCGGGGCACACTGCGCGCGCGTCCGCCACAGCCCGCCCAGATGCCGGGACACTATGGGTTCTCCCCGCTGTGAACCGCCCAGAACTTGGGGGACGCTGCACGCGCCCCCGTCGCAGCCCGCACTGACTCCAAGGACACTGTGGGAGTTTCCTGCTGCTGTACGCCCGGACCGGGAAGGGACCGGGGGTGGAGGACACTGCGCGATGCCACTGTAGCACTCCCTACCCCCGACCCCAGGGACACTGCGGGAGCTCCCTGCCGCAGCCCTCCCTGACCACTGGGGATATTACGCGAGCCCCCCACTGCAGCCCGCCTGGACCACCCGGGCCACCGCGGGCACGCGCTCCGGTCGCAGCGAGGGGGGCGGCCCGGTGGCGGGGAGGCGGGCGGGACGAGGAGAGGGCGGGGCGCCCGGGACTCCGCGTGTCCCCGCCCTTGCGGCTGCCCCACCCCCACCATCCCCTCCCCCCCGCGCCGCGCGCTCCTCCCGCCCGGAGTCTCTCTCTCCGCCACGATGAGCAAATGAGCTCGAGTGAGGGCATGAAATTTAAATTCCACTCAGGGGAGAAAGTGCTGTGCTTCGAGCCTGACCCCACCAAGGCGCGAGTCCTTTATGATGCCAAGGTGCTGCCGCGGGGCGGGGGGGCAGGGAGGAGGCGCGGGCGGGGACCGGGCTGGGCGGCGGGCGCAGGAGGCGGCCCCTCGGCCATGGGACAGCAGCGGGGCCCCGGGCGCCGCTGGCCGGCGGCTCTTCAGCCTGCAGTGCGCGGAAGGGCGGCAGGTGGCGCTCGCGGGCCTCTGCCTGGGACTAGGGGCTGGGACACTTCCGCTGACGTTCAGCGCGGGACTGCGCAGGCGCGTGATACGTTGCTAGGCTAGGGTCTAGCGCGTGTTCTATGCTCGCGACAACGGCGCTGGCCGTACGTTGTGGCGGCCTTTCGCCGGCCGGCCTCTCCCTCAGGTTAAGGCTCTCCTTTCTGCATGGCCCGGCGCGGCTTGGCTTCCTGTGGGACGTCCTGACCGACGGACCCAGGTCCTAATCCACAGCACTTCACCGCTGGGCCCCCACTCGCTACGTCACCCACCCCAGTCTAGTGGAGGACCCGACCTCTCCCTCCGCCCCGAGGGCCAGGTTGCTCCTTGCCTTTCAGGGCCTTCCACCATTTCCGCCTTCAGTTCCTGAAGGCTTTTCTGAGTCGAGTCCAGCCCCAGGCTGTCCACCTGAGAGTTTTCGCTCGGCTGAACCCCATTCGGCGCTCCTGGTCCTGCTACTGGGAGGAACGAGTGTACGCCATAGACAGAGCAGGCCCAGAACCCGAAGGAGAGCCATCTTAGCGCCCGGGGGGTGGGACTGCCAGTGACAGGTGCGGCCCTCCGGTGGCCTTGTCCCTAGGGACCACCTCAGGGTCTGCAGTCAGTGCTTATTTGACTTTCAGGTCACATCCCTGCAACCTCTTTCTCGAGGTCTCCCTCCTCTCCCAACCCCCAAATCGCCACCCCCACCCCGAGTCGCGAAGCGTGGCTCTGAGGATACAGCAGGTTGGGATGGAGGCATCTCTAGCCAGCCTTGCCCTGCACACCACAGTCACAGGACTACAATTCCCTAAAGCCCCAGAGCTACAGCCCTTTTGTGTGGCTAGGACTCTCGTTAGTGGCAGATTCGCTAGCCAATGGCTTCTAAAGCTTTGCCCTATCTCAAGCTCAGCTACCAATCACAAGGATGTTGGTCCGATGCTTCCTATTTTGAGGCATCCACTCAGAAAAAAAAAAAAAAAAAAAAATGGAATTGAAAGGGAAAATGTTTCAACCCAGCTCTCAGGCTAAAAAAGGAGAGAAAGCTTTTCTTTTTTTGGACAAATGGAGTACGGCCTCGTTTTCCTGATCTAGTTTCTACTATCCTGTATGTTCTGTCACTTGGGGGTAATTTTTCCTGGTTTCAGATTGTCGATGTTATTGTTGGCAAAGACGAAAAAGGAAGAAAGATCCCAGAATATCTGATCCATTTTAATGGTTGGAACAGAAGGTAAGTGTGCATGTTAAGCTGAAATAGAGACAAATCATCATGGGCACACAGGGACAGTGCACGTTTGAGGATGCTTGAGAAGCACTTGGGGAAAAATTTGTTTGTTTTGCTTTGTTATCAAGTTTTGCCGGGTTCTAAGGAATGATTATTTTGAAGACGATTATATTTGTATCTCTCTGAGTCATTTTGGAAGGCCCACTTTCTTTTTGTGTCTGAAGGACTGACTTTTTCCACTTTGAATTGTGCCTTGTTTGTGATTTTAAAGTGTTGGACCCTATTCAAATACTGATTTTGCCATTTTCTGCCTTTTCCTGCTCCATCAGCTGGGATAGGTGGGCAGGTGAAGATCATGTGCTTCGAGACACCGATGAAAACCGAAGATTACAGCGTAAATTGGCAAGAAAGGCTGTAGCGCGTCTGTAAGAAAACAACAGTCCTGTCATAAATGTTACTGAGTGTGTTTCCTCTTAGTGGTTGGAATTGTAGGGCACAGAGTTAACAAAACAATATGTTGTTGTTGTTAAGTGCCATCGAGTCGGTTCCGACCCATAGCGACCCTGTACAGGGTTTCCGAGGGTGTAAATCTTTACGGTAGTAGAAAGCCTCATCTTTCTCCCGCAGAGCGGCTGCTAGTTTCGAACCGCTGACCTTAAGGTTCGCAGCCCGATTCGTAACCACTGTGGTTTATTAAATGATGTAACTTATATATTTAAAATGAGTGAGTGAAGAGTTGCTTGTGTTCTAAAGAATTACAGTATGTTCAGCATCATCTGCCAAGTGTTCAAGATTCATTGTTGAATTTATCTTGTGTTTTATATCAAGACCCATGCTGGTCAGGGTCAAAATTCCTTTCAGGTGGGCTTATTTATGCATTTATTTATTTTTAACAGAAGAAAGGGAAGAAAGAAGAAGCGCTGCAGGCTCCCTGGTGTCGACTCAGTTTTAAAAAGCCTCCCTGTTGAAGAAAAAGATGAAAATGCTGAAAACTGTACGGTGTCTTGCCTAATGGTTTTCTTTGGCTAAAGGAAGGTTCTCTTGTCTTTTGATTCTCCAGGGCTGATGGGAAAATTCATGGGCGTTAGAGATTGGGAAACAAATTAAGCTCATTATGTATATATACATTTGCCCCTTTTGAATTTGGCCGATGAAAGTAGCAATCACTGTCATTTTGAGATCCTGTCAGGACCCATCTCAGAGTGGCTGCTTTCACAGCTAGTATCTTTATTCTGCCCCCTCATGGGGACTTCTTGTGTTTTCTCTTGGGGACACTTCCTGGACTGTGGTCCCACTTATGAATGAGGCAGAAAACACTAAGATCCTAGTTGACAAAGCACTTTGTGATCATGAGCTTGTGTGGGTTTTTTACGTCCATTGAAGTGGATGTTAGATTTCCAGAAGAAATTGATTGGGGTTGGGCAAGGTTTAGAATCTGTTTTGTTTACTGTAGGCTGCCTGCTATATTGCTCCCAGTTACAGCCTGTCAGGTGAAGTCTGATGGAGGCTGCCTTGTTTTCCTCAGCAATAAGCAGTTCCTCTGATGACAGCAGTGAGGAGACAGATGAGGAAATAAGTGAAGAAAGTGACACCGAAGAAAAGAACGAAGCGGTACAAAGCCATTTATTGTCAAAATGCTCTCTCTTTGATGTGTGTTTTAGTAGTGAAGTCAGTATTCTCCAGTTGTGAAGTATTTTCTAAAAATACCATGTTTTGCCAAATCTACACTGTTACTTGATCTTTAAAGAAAAGCAGCTCTTTAGGGTCCTGGTGTAGCCCTGTAGGATAAACATTGGACTACTAATGGCAAGGTTGGTGGTTCAAACCCATCAGCCACTCCTCAGAAACTATATAGCATCGCTATGAGTTAGAACCCACTGGGCGGAATTTAACAACAAGAAGTTGTAGTCTTTCAGTGGCTGTTCCCACAGAATGTTTTTGCAAATGATAAAATTTCCTTTCCTTTCTCACGAAATATCCAACTTCATTTTCATAATAATAGTTCCTTTTTTTAAATGGCATGATGTATCAGAATTAAGTGTTTTACTGCTAACAGAAAGGTCAGTGGTTTGAACCCACCAGCCACTCCATGGGAGAAAGATTAGGCTGTCTGCTTCCATGACGAGTCACAGCCCCGGAAACCCCAGGGGGCAGTGCTACTGTGTCCTGCGTGTCCTTCAGTGTCGGAATCCACTTGATAGCAGAGCAGTTGTCCAGGCGTCTTCTGCTGCCCTTCAGTTACCATCAAGCCTGAGCCTGAGCTTAAATGGGGCAGAAAAGCGAAGCATTTGCAATACAGCAATGCTTGTTGTTGATGTGAAATGCCATCTAGTCAATTCCGACTCGTAACAAGCCTGTATAGGATTTCTGAGGAGTGGTTGGTGCATTGAAAGTGCAGACCTAGCCCTTGTGCCTCTCGTACAGTGCCCACCAGGACGCCCATCTAGCGCTAAGTGCTTTTCCTTTAGAACACGTGGCACCGTCTGTTTGGTGTGGCCTGAGAATCCCTGGGTCTGTGTCAGAGGCGGTGCCCATGGGACGGTTCTTTGGGGCTGTAGCCTCGGTTGCAGTTTGAAACAGTGAAGCCTGGCCTTGTGATGTTGCAGAAAGAAGAGCCGGAGCTGCACACCAGAAGGGAAATGGACGAAAGGCCGATAAGTATCGACATTCCTGAGGTTTTGAAGAAGAAGCTGGAGGACGATTGCTACTATATTAACAGGAGGAAGCGGGTTTGTGAGGCAAACCCAGTCAGACCAAGAGGCTTCCTGAGACGGGTTGCTTAGCCATAGTTTACAGGCACAGGCTGGAAAGCAGTTGTGATGCTTTGAGGAATGAACTGTTTGTCGTTGGTGTGCTTAGGCCGGGTTGACAGTCCTCTGTCCCTGGTGCTGTTGCAGCGGCTTAAACGCCACACCAGCACAGTCCTCGCCAGCACTCCCCTGCCCCAGCTACCTAGGGCAAGTCCCCAAATTCCTATCCCTGGACTCCCATCAAGAAGTTATGACTCTAATGACCAGGGTGGGGGCTGGCCAGGGTATTTTTTAGAAGCTCCACACACTCTAACGGGTCTCTAACAAAGAGAACCCCTGCATCTATATACTTGAAAGATGAATGAAGTTATAATCAGGAGAAGAAATATAAACCGTGTACTTGACCGTATTGCCTTTAAGAAACTGGACTTCTTAGAGGAGCCCTTCTGGTGCAATGGTTAAGTCATCAGCTGCTCATCAAAAGGCTGATGGTTCAAATCAACCGGCCACTTGGCTGGAGCTAGATGAGGCAGTCTGTTTCCACAAAGACTTCCAGCCTCAGAGGCCCTACGTGGCAGTTCTCTCTCCTGGAGAGGTACCTTGAGTCAGAATCAACCTGACAGCAGTGGGTTACAGGTTATTTGAACAGAATTGGCTCGATTCCTTTATTTTTGTGTTAAAGAAGCAACATAGACATGATTGCTTTTTCTTGGAATGATCTAGACAATGAAATGTTTACATCACATGTGTCTGATTTTGTTAACAGTTAGTGAAACTTCCATGCCAGACCAACATCATCACCATTTTGGAATCCTACGTGAAGCATTTTGCTATCAATGCAGCCTTTTCAGCCAATGAAAGACCTCGTCACCACCATGTCATACCACACGTCAACATGAACGTGCATTACATCCCTGCAGAAAAGAAGTGAGTCTTTGGCGTGACCTGGTCCTCGCTTTGTGTCCTTTTTTAAATGACTTTTTATTGTGAATTGGGTGAAGGTTTGCAGAGCAGCTCAGTCATCCACTCACTAGTCTATGCCTGTGTCGTTTCATGTCATTGATTGCAATCCCCACAATGTAACATCACTTACTGCATTTCCTCTCCATGTTTCCTGTTTCTATTCCTCCTTGTTTCCTAACCCTTGTGAACTTTGTCCTCGGGTAATCTCTCCTAGTGTCTTAGAGAAGTGACTTCAATTAGACCAATTGCTCCATTTCATTTATTTTGTTTACTTTCTCTTCACGGTCACTTGCTCTGTTTTCTTCTTTTCGCTTGTAAGCTAGGGGATAGGAAAAATAGAGCTGCAAGAGATCCTTGGGGTCATTGAGACACACTGCTCTTATAAGTGGGAGGAAGCTGTGGCAGTCTGTGTTTGTGAAGATCACAATCTTACACATCGTGTGGAGCAATTCAACGCTACCCTATAGGGGCATTGTCAGGTGGCATGGACTCAACAGCAGTGTGATTGAGTTTTTTGGTTCTTTATAAATGGGAAAATGAGAGCATAAGGCGTTGGTAATTTCCAACACTCAAGTCTAGCTTTAACCTGATCAATTTTAGAGAGACAGCCCACCACAATAGATTTTTTTCTATTTTTTTTTTCCTATTTATTGTTATTGCAGACATTCTTCAAAATCCCAGCCATCCTAGTAAAAATTGCCCATAGACCTGACCTGTAGTCAAATCAGAATATTAAAATTCTTCTTTATCTTTGTTCCCTTCTCAGCCTTTATGTGTATGTTTAATTTTTACATGGCATATTGTACAACCTGCAAAAGCAGGAACCTGTGGAAGGCAGAAACTTGTCATAGAAGGAAAATTCCAGTGTTTTCCACTAAAACGAGTGATAGAAAAGTGGAAAGCCTGCACCCTGTCAAAGGTGGAAAATTTGTGAGACCCAGAAAAACAAGGCAGTCCCGACAAGGTCCGGCTCTCAGATATTTCACTGTAATATAAGATAGTATGATGTGTTCCGTGGTCGATTAGGATAATGCGCTACTTATCCTTTCGCTTTTAGTTCAGCTTTAGTTGGTTTTCCTTTCCTTACTCTCCCTGTAACTAATTTTGTACAATCATGTAATTTGAAACGTCAGTGTGGTTAAGTGCCATGAAGTGTCGGCTCCAGCTCATGGTGCACTTGTATAGGATTTCCAAAGCTATGCATCTCCGTGGGAGCAAAAAGCCTCATCTTTCTCCTCTGGAGTGGCTGGTGGGCTTGAACCGATGCCCTGTGGTCCACAGTCTAGTACTTTATCATACAGAGCCACTGTGCTCCCAATCCAAATGTTCTTGTTAAGTGGCATCAAGTCAGTCCTGACTCATAGTGACCCTGTATAGCATTTCCGAGACGGCACATCTTTCTCCCGTGGAGTGGCTACTATCAAACCATTGACCTGGTGGTTTTCAGTCCAATGCTTATCCTTGGAGCCACCACACTCCCAATCTAAATATGGAGGTTATTTTATTGTTTGTTTGTTTTTTTTAATGTATGAGGTATCACTTACATCAGTAGATTTATACTGGACTCATATTTGTCTGCGAGTGTTTACTTCATAGGGCAGAGAAAGAACTCTGCATTATGGTGTGGCTCTGTTTTGTTTTTACGTCATGATACGCCCTGTTTTATGGCTAGCCCATGAGTTAGTCCAAGGGAATGGTAAACTCCAGCAAAAGTTGGACCTGTTATCTGTTCTTGTCTTACAGGGTGTCCATGACTGCTTTTACCACGTGACAGCAGAGTTGAGTAGTTGTGAGAGAGACTGTGGCCTGCCAAACCCAGCCCCATCTGCTAGTCTGATGTCTTCCAAGAGGACATTGACAAATCAGGCAGTGCCAGACCTCTTTTATAAAGGGCCAGCTAGCACAAGGGAACTTGCAAAAGTTCATGGAAAAATTCCATTCATTTTCTTAAATTTTTTTTATTGTGAGTTGAGTGAAGGTTTACAGAGCAGATCATCAGTTTTACAGTCAATAAATCATATACTTTGTATTATGGCAGTGATTGCAATCCCCTCGTTGTAACCTCACTTAGCTGACTTGCTTCCTATACTACTTGTTTCTATTCCTCCTCCTTTCCCAATCCCTCTGAATTTTGTCCTTCGGTAAATACTGTCCTTTTGATCTCAATTGGTTGACCATTCTGTGGTGTACGTACCTCCCTAGTGTGGTTAGACCCCCTATATACCTATGTACTGTTTGACTCAATGGAAAATTGAGCCACGAGGGTAAGTTTAGTTTCAGACTTGAAGAGTGGCCAAAGGCCATAATCTCAGGTCTCCTTCAGTTCTGACCACAAAGCCTGGTCTTTTTTTTTATGATTTTGAGTTTTGTTCCCCATTTTCTCGCACTCTATCCAGGACCTTCTAATGTGACCCCTTTCAGAGTAGTTGGTTGTGGGAGCCGGGCCCCAGCTAGTTCTGAGACTGAGATTCATGTGGTCCCATTGTTTCCAACTAACTTCAGTTTTCCTCACTTGTCTTTCCTCCACACAGGAAAGGATCAAGAGATGACTTTAGTTGGCCGCTCACAAGCTTTTAAGATCCCAGTTGCTCCTCACCAAAGTAGGATGTAGAAGATTATCTTTGTAAACCGTGTTATATATAATATCAGCCTTTTTTATAGGACAGTGTCTGAGTCTTTCTTTCTTGATAGCTTCTAGGTTGTTTTCTCTCTCTCTTTTCATCTGCTGCTGTCGTCAGTGTTGATTCAGAGCAGCTTTCTAGGACAGAGTAGAACAACTCCATAAAGTTGATTTTTATTGTGAATTGAGTAGTAGTTTACATGGGAGAACATCGGTTTTACACTCATCCTATTATATTTCATTCATTGCAATGACTGCATCATCTATACATCATCATTCAACAGTATTTGCTTCTATTCCCTCTGCTGGTTTTGTTTTGTTTGCGGGGGCGGGGGGATGTACACAAAAACACTCAGACAAATATAATAATTTACACTATCAAAGGACACATTCTGCGAGCCTGCCTCCTGGCTGCTAGCACACAGCCTTTCTCTTTCTATGAGTCTAGAGTCCTCAGATGCTCTCTCTCTCCATGTCCTCATCTCTGCTTCCATCTCTGGTGTCGCTGCTTCTCTGGATAGGCTCCCAAATTCTGCTCATGCTTTTCTCCCTTGATGGTCCTAGGGTCATCTGTTCCTGAATTGTAAGATTAACTGCTCCCCCCTTGTTTTGTCATAAAACTTCTACCTTCGTAGTTGTGGCAGTCACAATTCATCATGACAACAATTACTGTTGAATCATAAAACTCTTATCCCCACCGTTTCACCAGACCTGTGTAAGTAACTTTTTACGAGAGCAGATGACCTCACCTTTCTTCAGGGTTGAACTACTGACCTTACAGTTAGTAGTCCAATGTCTAACCAAGGGCCCCTTTGCTCTCTTTGAGGTTAATTTAAAAAAAAAAAAAAAGTCATTTAGATCATTGGTTCATTGGGAACTTTCCTATACGTGCGAGAGGGGTCCGATTTGTGTTTACGGCTAAGGTGGGTCAGTGTTGTGGACAGGGTTTTTGAAAACCATATGCTCCCTTCCCATTGAATTGCCATCTTTCCCTTTTCCAGTTCACTTGGTTCATTGGAGTGCGTTTTTATGTGGGGGATACTGTTTGCATCACACTTGCTTCCCAGCACCTTGTCATACCTCATAAGGAAGTGCCCCTCCTCTTTTTAGTGAGGTCCTTGGCTGTCTTTGAACCTTCTGCGTACCTTTGTTGTGGTTGTTGAGTGCCTTCGAGTCTCTTTCTGCTCATGGTGACCCTGTCCAGGGTTTTTGAGGAGCAGCTGGTGGGTTTGCATTATTCTGCAGTGCCACACCAGGACTTCCTTATGACTTAAAACGTGTCCTTTTATCATCCAAAATCTCACTGAGATTCTGACTGAACTCATACTAACTGGAGATACTGATTCTCCTAGAAGATTGCGCGTAAGCTGTGCCTTCCCATCTCTGATGTGCTTGACTTTTCCCTTCCATTCCAGGCTTCTTTATGCCTTCAGCTGGTCTTTTAGGGTCTTCTCCCCAGTTAGGCCCTCTGACTTCTGGACCTTTATTCTTAAGTAGTTTCCCCCTGTAGTTGTCATAATGGATTGTTACTCAAGGGCCATTCTTTGCCGACTCGGTAACCACTGGCATGTGTTTGGGTGATAGCTATCAGTGGTGGGAATATTCTTTTCGCTCCAATACAATCACATCTTGACCCTGGTGGCTCCAGAAGGTAAAACTGGTTGTCCTTAAAAGCACTATTCATATTTCTCAAAATATGGCTACTTTTCTAAGATCTTTGGACCACATTTAGGTTTCTGGTCTGGATGCACTGAGAGTGTGCACTGCCTCCCACATGGCCTAGCTGTAATCGAGGGTTCAAACTCTTTTCTTTAGAAATATCACAATGACCCATGACAATTGTATCAAAGCTTGCTTTACAAGCAGCTGCTTCTTGTGGTCAGAGAAATCATTCCTAACATGCTGCCTTGCAGCAAATCTGAAAGTGCGGTTCTTGGAATGGAAAGATATCCCATAGTTCACAGAGGCAGCCAGCTGTCAGCTCCCAGTGGTTGGGGCCTCCCCATCTCTGGCTGCACATCTGGCCCAGCCGCATCATCTCATCGGCATTGAACGCTTTCCTTTGTGTGAAGGGTGGGAAACAAAAAAAAAAAGTACTATGTACTTTCTATAGCAGGTCCACTTTGATATCTGACTATTTTCTCGTTGGCATCTGCACACCCATTCCATGCTGTATGCGGGTCTGGGTAAGGTTTAACACCGTGCCTTATTAAAGGTGTGGGACTTTATGGTGAAGATGGAGTGCATACATCAGTATTACAGTATTGTCTTGTTGTTTCCCCTCAGTGTGGACCTTTGTAAGGAGATGGTGGATGGATTAAGAATAACCTTCGATTACACGCTCCCATTGGTTTTGCTCTATCCATATGAGCAAGCTCAGTATAAAAAGGTGACTTCATCCAAGTTTTTCCTTCCGATTAAGGAAAGTGCCACAAGCACCGCCAGGTAAGTTAGAGAGCCTGCTGTCTGCCCCTGATTGCAGCAAACACGTAGTTCAGTCTTGTTTGGAAGATGACAGTCTGATGCTGTGTAGCTGGAAAGAGTGAAAGGTGCTGACACCAGGGGCCAGGGGTCTTCCTTCTTCCTCACTCTGTGAAGACATCATTCACTTTTCAGTGGCTTTGAGAAATTTTCTCAGTGAAGCATGGAGCATGTAGTGGGACCCTGTTTCTCTGAGGTAGACGGAGGGAGGTGGGGTGCAGAAGGGTGGAAGATGGTGTGAACTGAGCTCCTTCACATATTGGGGTGCCTCAGAGAAGTTATTTTGAGCCCCCATGTGCACACTGGAATGAGCATCTGCTGTGTGGGGCAAGTCTTGTGAAATGAGAGTTCCTCCAGGGCTGGTCACAGCTGGCTTGCAGTGAAGGTCATTTCCCTTCTCCCTCTAGGGCATCCTACTTCCTTCCCTTAGTGAATAAACTAGTGGAAATCACTAGTCTTTGGGGGTGGGGAAACCCCAACCCAACTTAAGACTTTATCTTAACCTTCTAGAAGCTAGTACCATTATCTTCCTCCTTCATTATCTCTTGCTGAGAACAGTTTATTCTCAGTGTTTCTATTCATCCATCTCCTCTGTTCTTACCATCTGGCTTCATACTGCCCTGACCACTTGACCAAACTCATATCTGCAAGTGCGCAGATCACCTTCCTTCTGATCATCCACTGTTGACACACACCAACACTTCTCTGTGCTTTGCTTCCATCTCTTTTCCACCTACTTTGGTTGCCTTCTTTCTTCCTTTCCTACATGTGGGCTCCACCCCAGGTTGCAGGTCTGTGAGAATTGCTGGGGAGCTATGTTGAAGTCCAGAGCTTGAGAGTCCAAATGTCTAGGGAGGACTCTGTTTCCACAGCTGCCCGACACTTGTGGTTTCTTCTTGCACTGCTGGGTGTTACTGTCTGATGGAATCTGCTCTTCTTCTCTAGACCATCGCTTCTCAGGCTCTACCCTAGTGACATTTTGGGGCTGGATAGTACTTTTTGGTAGATGCTGTCCTATGCATTGTAGGATGTAGAGCAGTATGCCTGACCTCTGCCTGCCAGCTGCCAGTAGCCGCCCGCCCCCACCAACACACACACAAAAAACTTCTCAGCTGTGGCAACCAGAAAGACCTCAATATTGCCAGATGTCCCTGAGCCAATAATGACTGCTGTCAAACAAGCAGAATGGGACTTGCCTTCTCTTAGGGCAGCGTACCTCTCTGAGGTAGTGAAGAAATGAAAAGTGATTGTGTGTATTTAGTTACTCTCTTAGAAAAAAGATTTGTGTTGGCACACATTTGAATTGAAGACATGTCATCCTCTTGGAGTTAAGAGTTTGGTAACTGTTCTGTTACGAGAGCCGTGTGAGAACGTGTCCACGTTTTGGAAGAATTCTATGGTTGTGGTCATGGGTGAAAACTCTCCCCTGTTCTCCTTAGGAGCCAGGAGGAGCTGTCTCCGAGCCCGCCCTTGTTGAATCCATCCACTCCACAGTCCACCGAGAGCCAGCCGACTGCAGGGGAAGCAGCCACACCCAAGAGGCGCAAAGCTGAGCCGGAAGCTTTGCAATCTCTGAGGCGCTCCACACGCCACAGCTCCAACTGTGACCGGCTATCTGAGAGTAGTGCGTCACCTCAGCCAAAGCGCCGGCCACAGGACTCATCTGCCACCATGCCCAAGCTGTTCCTGCACCTGGAAAAGAGTAGGTAGACTCCCAGGTGGGGCAGCACCCTGCCAGGATGAGCAGATCTCTGTATTGTGCTCTTGTCTGTGCCAGGCTTTGTGCCCAGTTCACACGCACATGAGTACAACAGGGTGATTCTGTTAACGTGGTCAGAGTGCTGGGGGGGGGGGGGGGGGGAACTGTACTCTCGGGGTAAAGGGAGGGGCTTGGAAAGATTGCCCGCTGGAGAAATGGTGGGGCCGGGATTGAGCTGTGTCCTGGTGTGGAGCTGTAGCATCAGCACTAGACTGGTAACCACAAGGTTGGCCATTCAAACCCACCAGCTGCTCTTTGAAAACCGTATGTAGGATCTCTATGAACCAGAACTGAATCCATGGCACTTAACAATAACAACCACAGGAGTCCTGGTGGTGCTGTGGTGAAGCTCTTGGCTGCTAACCAAAGAGTGTGTGGATTGAGCCCACCAACTGCTTTGTGGGAGAAAGATAATGCAGTCTGCTTCTGTAACGATTTACAGCCTTGGAAACTCTATGAGTAGTTCTACAGGGTTGCTGAGTTGGGATCATCTCAGCAGTGAGTTTGGTTTTGGCCTCTACCCTTTCTTTTGCGCAGATGGAATTACTGAAATCCATTGTTTTGTATGACCCCAAATCAAACTCTGTGCCATCAAGTGGTTTCTGACTCAGCGACTCTGTATAGGGCTCCTGAGACTGTAAGTCTTTGTGGCGGTCTTTGCAAAGCTTCCAGGAAGAGCTGTTCTCCAGGATTGGTTTTGTTTTTTGTTTTGTTGTGTTTGCATCAGTTGTCTCCATTCTGAAATTTAATTTTGAAAGTTGCATTTTGCCATACAGCGAGAGCTGTCAGGATGACAGGGTCCTTTCCCACCTTATCTCAGCCCCAACCCAACCCATCAGGTTTGCTCGCCCTGATTCCCAGCTGCAGTTGAAATAGAACAGATTATGGAAGAGTTGACAATTTTTTGCAAAATGTATGTAATTTTGGGTCTGCCCCTGGCTCCAGAAGAGGGAGGAGTATTGCGAGTTTACCTGAAGCGTAGTCCTCACAGACTCCAAGCCTAGTTGACATTTCTTGTAAAGCGAAACCATAGTGCTTGGGCATGGGACATGGCTAAGAACCTTTCAGAGTTCTGTCATTTTCAAAAAGCTCCTCATGGATGGATGGTCAGAAGTCACCCAAGAAACTAACTCTTAGTTTCAATGAAAGACGCTTAATATATTCCCTAGACTTAACATTAAAACCTATTCATGTTAAAACAATAAATCATTAGATTGGATACATTTAGGCTGAAAGCTAAAATTAGGTCTCAAAGCACACACTAACCAAGCATTTCCCCAAGTAAATTAAAGTATGGCTGTTCAACCTACACAGCAAATACTGTATTGTTTTGCTATAATATGCCCACCTATATAATGTGTATGCATGTATAATGTGCATTGCACTCCTAGGAAAAGTGTATAAGGGGTTGCCTGGTTTGCAAAAATGCAAAACACAGAAAACACTTACTTACTGCTAGTTATTTGTGTAAAAACCTTAGAAGCCCTCTCCCTAAGTGTTCTGCCACTAATGCAGTGTGATGTGTGTTTGGCCTCTGCCTCTTGTAGCCCTGCCATTCCATTTAGAGCCACAGTCCCAGTAGAGGACCGGCGCTCAGGGTGGGTCTGCCCTGTAGGGCTGCTGTGAGCTGGGGTCAAGTCCCCAGCAGGAAATCAGGGTTTGGAGTTTGGCCCATCTTAGGACTTGGAGGCTCACAGATGAAATCTGGAGTATTCTCCCAGCGACAGTTCTCCCTCACCCTAGTCTTCCTGACTAACCCCTTCAAGACCCTTCCGGCCTGTCAGTGGTATTGGCAGTGAAGGGTTCCGGGGCATGAAGTCTTGCCCCACATTCACTGATGTCTCACCGCCATCTCCAGTTAGGAGTTTGCCATGGAGGCAGAGGTGCTTGACAAGTTCCTGTGGATTGAAACAAACCACAAAGATGTATTTAAAAAAGAGACAATATGCTTTATAGAATCCTTTTTAATAATCAGGTGCTTTTCATTTTTCAGTTTTGTTTGACTATAATCCACAGACCAGACAATGAACCTGTTTGAAGTATACAATTCAGTGGTTTTGAGTATGTTCAAAGTTGTGTAACCATCACCACAGTCAATTCTAGAGCATCATCTTTTCCCCCTCCATCCCCCTAACAATGAGCAAGCACTCCCCATTCTTCCCTCTTCCCAACCATGGGCAGCCACAAATCTGTCCATGTGGCCATTTCCTGTGGATGGAGCCCTAACAGCTGACTTCTTTACCTCAGTGCTCATTCATGTCATGTTGTTGTTGTTGTTAGTGTCATCGAATCAGTTCTGACTCATAGCAACCCTGTACAGGGTTTCCGAGGAGCGACTGATGGATTTGCCTTACCAGTCTTTCAGTGCTGAGCCTACAGTGTCACACCAGGACTCCCGTCCATGTCAGAGTATTCCTTTTTTTCTGTCTAAATAACAGTCTAGATTCTGTCTTTTATCATTTTGTTAAAAATTATTTTCTCTGAACTGCTTTGTGCTGTGTGCTCAGCTTGTGACCAGGGTCTCGATGGTGGGCTTGGGTTCAGCCGACATGGGTTACAGATGAGTGAGTGCATCGTTCTTGTTTGCAGAAACGCCGGTGCATAGCGGGTCATCGTCCCCCATTCCTGTGACCCCCAGCAAGGAAGCAAGTGCTGCGTTTGCTGGCTTTGAAGGGAGACGGAATAATGAAATAAATGAGGTAATCAACTCTGGCCTGATGTTCCTCCCTGATGATCCTGTCTCACTGAAAACATTTTTTAAAAACTTACCTTGTGATTTGACGGTAAGATCTGCCACTGTTTTGTGGTGAATTCCCATGGGAGGACATCACAGTGTCCTGAAGAGTTGTAAGGTGGTGGCTAGTCACAACATTGTTGCCATGATTCTTTGGAACATTTGAGTTTTTAGTTCTTCAGATATGAAAATGATTAAGGGTTCAACCGTAAGTAAAATCATCTGTTACTTTAATTTAGGGGTGTGGAATGTGCGGCCCACGGCCGTATAAGGCCCGTGAAATCATTTGGTTTAACCTTGCCAAGGCAACCACAGTTCCAGCCATCACATTTGGGTTGAGTTTAAAAATGTAACAGCTGTTTGCAGAACTTGAGTTGGATTTAGCCCCCACGTAGGCTGTACTTGGCCATCTGCTTATAGAAGCTAGAAGGCGTCCCAGTTGTGGTACAGTGGGTCTAGAGGGGAAGTTAGGAACGCTAGCACCTAATAGCCCAATTCACCAGCTATGAAGGTACTGCTGCAGGATTTACTAGGGGGCTTCAAAAAATTCATGGAGAAATGGATGAAAAGAGAATGAAATTTTCCATGAGCATTTTTGAAGCCCCATTGTATTCGATTATTTAAGGAAAATCTTGACATTTGAAATTTCACGTAACTTGGGTCTCGCCTAATACAGTCAGCAGTGCTTGGGCGCCATCTCGTGGTTGAGGGTATAGCTGCAAGCTGAAAAAAAAAAAAGGTGATTTTGCTAAATATTTTAAATTCATGAGATCCTGATGACCCCACTCCCCTCTGTGCCGCCTTCATAGCTATGGTGCCTAACTAGGCTTTGGCACCCAGGTGACCCTGTCACTTTATTTCCAGGGTCTGGACCTAGATATTTCTAGTTAGTATCCATAGGGCATTCCCAGGAATACCCCAGGTGGGAAGCCCATTGTATTAAAGACCTATAATAAACCACTGAAGAGATCAGGTACTGCATTGAAATGTAAAATGGAGGGAGGGAGGGAGGGGGTTTCACTTAATAACTAGTTGTTGTTAAGTGCCAATGAGACCCTATATAGGGTTTCTGAGGAGTGGTTGGTAGTTTTGAACCATTGACCTTGTTGTTAGCAGTCCAGTGCTTATCCTACAGTGTCACACCAGGACTCTGAGTGACCTGCTTTTGTGTCCAGGCATCCAGTGAACTGCACGTTCACTGTGGTTCCCAAGCGTCAGCACAGAAGGCTGGGTGGGGACACAGCAGTCCATGCCAGAGTCCAGAGGTGGCAAGGAAAGGAACATTCGCTCCTAACACTGTGTTTTATAAATTCATCCCCAGGATCTAGCTGACTTTTGATTTGGTTCTGATTTTGCATCTTCCTGATGCGTCTGACAGAGGGTTTCCTCAGGCCCTCCTGTTTTTAAACTTGGCAAGTCCCGCAAAGCACAGGCTGCGACTATAGTCAGGTAGACTTTGGATCCAGTCGACAGATAGTTGATGCGTCTCTAGGGAAAGCTCCCACTTTACCCATGGCCAGAGTTAGGTCTGAAACTCAACCTGAAGGACAAGAAAAATCGGCTCTGAGGTGTGAAGGCGAGTTCGTCAATTCAACAGGTTAAAGACGTCCACTTAGTGCCCATAGCAAATCTCACTTCACAGGAACGATAGCAGTACAGTGGTACCTGGCTGAGCCGGAGTTGCCATGTTTTTCCCGATCTGGCAAGTCGCCTTCCACCTTTGATGAAGGACAGTCTTAGTACTTTCCTATCACAATTTTTAGTGGGAAATATTTACATTTTCAGTCTCTGACAGGTTTCCACGATACACGGGTTCTGGCTTTCATGGACTTTACTGTATTACTAGAACCATCTTTGGGTTCCTTTATTTGGGAACATTTGTGTTTTAGATGAAAGTTTACATAGCAAATTAGATTCCGCTTCAACAATTCAGACACATTGTTCCTTGGCATTGGGTTGGGTTACTTTTCATTGTTTCATTCTTTGAATGTGGCCAGTTTTTCAAGGGAGAAGGTGCTAAAGGACCCAAGCAGCTATTGATAGTGCATCGTTGTTCAGAATTGGGAAAGCATTGATTTCCATAATCTATGTTCTATTTTCCTCAGACTTGCATTATTTTTATAAGTTGGTGTGATTCTGATATAGTGACATAGCTTCCCCTCTACATCCATGTATTGTCCTCATATTTAGCTGCTTAGCAGTGTCCCACGTTGGTGAGCAAGAGGGATCTGGCTAGAATTGGTTTAGAAGGCAAAATGGATTTTGTAAACAAAATTATAGTGGAAAACTCAAATATATATAGAAATATAAACTACATGGAAGACAAATACTTATTTTTGCACTTTAAGAATTGAGCCTCAATTTGATGACCTTGACCTATGAATCCTTACAGCAAGAATCATTCCCACCCCCTCCATACACAGAGTAGACAGGGATGGGCAACTTGGACATTAGCTACCCAAAATGGGGGGGGCCTACAAAGGCAAGGAATGATTGGCTTACAAGCTTTCAAGAGGGAACCTAGATCCAGAGGGTGTGGAGGAAGGTAGAATCTCCAGTGAGTAGTATCCAATCTGTCTAGGCGGGGCTGATGAAATGAAATGCGGATAGGTCTCTTGTGATCCAATAGTGAATAATTGTTATCAGGACTGATTGTGAGGGTTGGAAATGTAAAGGTAGACGTTTTGTAGCAAGGAGGGGAGTGATTAACTTTTCAGCCTAAGAGCAGAGGTCCCTGGGACCATTAAGGGAGAAGAGCGAGAGCGGGACCCTGCCCAGAGAAGCAGTGATGCCTGAGATGGAGGCAGAGACGATGACGTGGAGAGATGGAGCAGTTGGGGACTTTAGACACAGAGAGGGAGAGGGGCTGTGTGCTGACGACCGGGGGGCAGGCTTGTAGTGTATGTTCTTTTGCTTGGTTGATGATGCATGGAGGGGATTGTAACCATGGCAATGAAACGATATATGATAGGATGAATGTAAACCTAATGTTCTCCCATATAAATGATCACAGAATTCACAATAAAACATAAAAAAAAAAAAAAAAAAGATTTGAGCATGTAACATTTTTGCTGTATTTATATGAGGGGGGCTTTGAAAAGTTTGTGTTTGTGGAAAATGTAGTGAAAAGATCTGGAAAATTTTCCCTGAACTTTGTGAAGCCCCTCATATAATAATATTGTACCCATGTGACAAGTGTCAATTGTACTTCCCTGTCCAGTAGCCCTAATCTTGTCCTGTGGTCCCATATCTGTAGATGGCCCACATAGGAAGTCAGTGGTGGCTTAGTAACTCCCATCTTGAATGTTGCCAGTTACCTCCCATTTCTTGGTTCAACCATGAAGTCCTCCCAGGGTGTCTGGGGTGGGAGCTGGGGGTGGGAACATGACCTTCCACATCTGTCTGCCAACTTGAGGTCATCCAAGCCTAACCCCACTGCCGTGGAGTCGATTCTGACAGGAGAGAGTGCAGTGCTCCCTGGAGTTTCCAAGGCTGCCCTCTGTCGTCTGCACAGAAGCTGGCTGTCCATCTTTTTCCTGCAGAGTGGCTGGTGGGTTCAAACTGCGGACTAGTTGATTAGTATCTGGGCACTTCATCACAACACTGGTTGTCGTGACATGTTCAGGATGCACTAATGAAAGCATCAATCTGTACTTTTCACAGGTCCTCTCCTGGAAACTGGTCCCCGACAATTTCCCCCCAGGTGACCAGCCGCCTCCACCCTCTTACATTTATGGCTCACAGCATCTGCTGCGATTATTCGGTAAGATGTTCTGGCTCCTTTTTCCTGTCATCCTGTCTTGTGCATTGAATGTCCTCATCAGTGTCTGCGCATTTTGTGAGTTTGGCTGCAGGTATCCACCTGATGGGTCATTTGTGGGCCTAAGACCACGGAAAGGAGGTCTCTTCAGAGAACAGGCACTGAGTGAATCATGTTCCACACAGAGTGGGCTTTTGTTATATGTACCACTAGTCTAGGGGGCCCTGGTGTTGCAGTGACCAGGCACTCAGCTGGTAACTGAAAGACTGGCAGTTTGAACCCACCAGCCCCTCTGAGGGAGAAAGCTGTGGCCATCTGCTTCAGTAAAGATTTACAGCCTTGGAAACTCTCTGGGGCAGTTGTAATCTGCCCTGCAGAGTTAGTTGCTATGTGTGGTACCGACTACTCAATGGCAGTGGGTACCACTCCTGCCTTCCCTGACTGAGCGGTTTTGTTTGGTAATGAGAATGTTTATTTCTGTCACTGGGTGGTTAAAGCAGCAACAGATAGCTTCTGAGTGGGTGCTGCACTGGTTAGAAGTTGTGAAACTGTAATTCTTTTGCCCTGTTTTTGTTCCCCAATGCAGTAAAACTTCCAGAAATCCTTGGAAAGATGTCTTTTTCTGAGAAGAATTTGAAGGCTTTACTGAAGCACTTTGATCTTTTTCTGAGGTAATGTTAGAACTGTCTCAGATATGCCTTTGGCCACCTCCCGTGTGACTTGGATAACCTTCAGCAGTGGACTTTTATTTGTTGTCCATCCATGAGCTGGCATCACTGCTAGCACCTCCAGGCTGGATTTTGGGTTTACTATCATGTGAAGAAAAATGTCTGCTGGTCTGTGCTGAGGTGTTTTTTTTAATGTTTTATTGTGAATGATGTGATAGTTTACATGGGAGAACATTAGCTTTACATTCATCCTATCATATATCATTTTATTGCCATGGTTACAGTCCCCCTCCGTGCATCATCAACCAATCAAAGGTAAGTAATTAATAGATTAGATGTTGCCTGTTTTGAGCATGTTTGTGCTAATTGCAGTAGTGCAACAGTGAAGTAGGAGAAAAGAGCTGGTGATCTGCTCCCATAAACATAACAGCTGGGAAACCCAGTGGGGTGCTTAGTTTGATATTGTTACATGGGGTTGCTGCTATGACTTGACGGTACACAGAAATGACAATTTTCTTCAAACACATTTGTTTTCCTCTAGACAGAGGTGGTGGTGGTTGTTGTTAGGTGCCATTAAGTCGGTACCGAGTCATTGTGACCCTATGCACAGCAGAGCGAAACACTGCCTGGTCCTGGACCAACCTCACAATGGTTGCCACACTTGAGCCCATTGATGCTGCCACTTTGCCAATCCTTCTTGCTGGGGGTCTTCCTCTTTTTCTCTGACACTCCAGCTTACCGAACATGATATCCTTCTCCAGTGACTGGTCCCTCCTGACAATATGTCCGAACTATGAGAGACGAAGTTTGGCCATCCTGGCCTCCAAGGAGCACTCTGACCGAGATTAGATCTGTTGGTTCTTTTGGCAGCCCATGGTACATTCAATATTCTCCTCCAACACCATAATCCAAAGGCATCAATTCTTCTACAGCCTTCCTTATTCACTGTCCAGCTTTCGCATGCGTATGAGTTTATTGACAATGCCTTGGTTTGGTTCGGTGCACTTTAGTCCTCAAGCTGACATCTTTGCTCTTCAATACTTGAAAAGGGTCTTGTGCAGCAGATTTGCCTAATGCAGTATGTCATTTGATCTCTTGACTGCTGCTTCCATGAGTGTTGATAGTTGATCCAAGAAGAATGAAGTCCTTGACAACTTCAGTCTTTTCCCCGTTGATAAGAATGTTGTTTGTTGGTCCAGTGGTGAGGATTTTTGTTTTCTTGACATTGAAATGCAATCCATAATGAAGGCTATGGTCGTTGATCTTCATCAGTAAATGTTTTAAATCCTCTTCACTTTCAGCAAGCAAGGTTGTATTATCTGCATATCACAGGTTGTTAATGAGTCTTCCTCCAATCCTTATGCCATGTTTTTTTTCATAGAACCCAGCTTCTCAATTATTTGCTCAGCATACAGGTTGAATAAGTATGGTGAAAGAATACAACCCTGTCGCACACCTTTCTTAATTTTAAACCATTGAGACCAGAGGTGGGGAACCTTTATTCTGTCAAGATTTTTAACATCATGAGCCATACAAAATTATCAACTTAAATATTAGCCTGCTGTGTTTGGTCAAACATTTAATTAACTCACCACTAATGTGATGGCTTTGGAAACCCTATCCAGGGTTGCTAGGAGTCGGAATCGACTTGACGACACTCAACAGGAACAGCAATATGAAGGCTGGGACTGCGGTTGCCTTGGCAGGGCCAGACCAAATGATTTCGCAGGTCTTATATGGCCTATGGTCCAGACGTTGCTTGCCCGTGCTCTAGACTTTGCTGTTTCTCATGACAAAAGCATCTTGGCTCTTACCCCACGTGAGGAGTGTGGGGACAGGAGAGAGGAAGCTGTGTCTGTCTCTCTGGCTTCCTCTCCTTATTCTCCAGGGCCAGGAGGAAGAGGGAGCCACACAGCTTTGCCAGTCTTTGGTTCTGATATAAACCCTTGCGGGTGACCGTAGACCAAAACAGTTTGTAGCAGTGACTTTTAAGACTCGTGCTGCCATTTTCAGCCTGTGGGGATCGCACATCAAATGGTATTAATGTCTCACGTTTGATTTTAAAAGAGGTGGAACTGTCGTTTTGTAAGTACCTCTAGGGGGCCAGCCATCTTGCCGAGCTGTCTCAAATTGTGTGTGGCCCATCGGACAGCACAGTTCCAGGGTCTTGGTTGTAGAGTTGTGCTAAATCCTTTGTACGCTGCCTTCCCAGTGGCATATGGGTTTATACACAAAGGAATAAATGCTTTCTTCCAAAGTGGTTGGTGATCTTGAGCCTACAGTGCCCTGAAATGCTGTCCTCATCGGCCTGGTAGCAATGAGATACATTGCCTACTCTGACTGCTGTTGCTCGGCCAGTGCCATGGTCTCAATGGCTGGCTTCCTAGGACATCTGTCATCTCACAGGCATTTGTATTCGTGGGCTCCCAGGTCGTCTTTGACACCCACTTTTGCCAGCCACCTTTAGAAACCTGTCTTGTGTGACTTGACCCCCCTCAGCCCACATTCTGCCCCTGGCTTGCTGGTTGGGCCTCTCGAGGCTTGCTGACTTGAGGTGCCTCCCTCCTACCCAGTCTGTGTGCCCCAAGGGTGCTTTTGGATCAGTTTCCTCACCTCTTCCATCCCAGGTGTCTAGGTGACTGATTCTCTCTTGCTCTTTCCTGGTCCTGCAAGTGTATATCAAGTAGGAGTCACCAGAGAGGGGAGAATGCCACCCCAGACTAGGAAATCCGTCTTGGCATTTTAAAAAGATGCTTTCATGGAAGCATTCATAGAGTGGTGATGAATGGACTTAGTCTTTAAAACATTTTCTTGGAAACACATTCCAGAAGTAGCAGGTACTTCTCAGCTTTCCCCTCAAACAAAGCCATGCCTTTGTTTGCGATACAATCTTGTACACAGTCGTGCTGAGAGACTATGAAGGGACAACTCCCAGTTAGAAGAAAAGCTCGTTCTGTCAAATTGGTGGAAATCCCAGTCAAGTGGCCTTGTAGGCATCTTAGTCTTGAGAGCCTGGCCACGTTTCAACGTCTTTCTTCTTTTTATTTCAGTCATCCTTTTATGTGGTTGGCTACTGTAAGTTGGGACTAGAACATCTTTTAGCAGGACAAATTAGGATACAGAAGAGTATTGCTAGTTACTACATTCAATTTGGAGTCCTGGGGTGGCTCTGTGGGTTAATGCTCCAGACTGCAAAGCCGTTTGAACTGCAAGGTCGGTGGTTCAAGCTCACCAGCTGCTCTTCGGAAACAGGGTCACTATGGGTCAGAACCGACTCGATGGCACTTAACAACAACATTCAATTTGGGTTAAACTTGGTTTGCATCAACCTTGTGGGTTTCTCAAGTGGCATTTATTAAGTTCATAATCTGTGACTTTGGATAGTTTGCTTTAATAACAGGAAACCAGAAGTATTCACAGACATTTCTAAGGGGGCTTCAGAAAGTTAATGGGAAATGAAATTAACCGATGATGGAATTTTCCAGGAACATTTTGAAGTCTCCTGGTATTTGTTCATTGTTCCACAGAAATGTTTCTGTACTCAAGACAGTTAACACACAGAGTTTAGGCTCTGTTTATAATTGGATACCTTATGATAAGTGAGGGATTTGGATGAAATAATCGCCTAGAAGCTGTGTCTGGACTGAAAGCAATTGGTATCTAGAAATCAAGGTTATGGTCACTTTTCTTCCTAATAACAAAACAAGTTGCACCATTTGCGTGGTTGAAGATTTCTCTTTGACTCTGTGACGTGTGGTGGTCATCAGGGCCATTTTTTCTTGCAGGTTTCTAGCGGAGTACCACGATGATTTCTTCCCAGAGTCTGCGTATGTCGCTGCCTGCGAGGCACACTACAGCACCAAGAACCCCCGGGCTGTGTACTAAAGGTGGTGGAAGATGAAGAGGGGACAGCCTCAGGGCTTCTTTGGAGGCCGCCCCCACTGGGCCTGGGGGCAGTGGGCCCTATGATTTGAGGTGCCCACACGTTTTAGTTGTTTCTGTTAAGAGTGACTGCTCCGGTGCTGACCCAGGCTCTGCTGTTGCATGCTTGGAACTGTGCATCATCCTTTGACGATGAGCAGAGAGCAGCTTCGTCAGCAGAGCAGCATGGCAACATCTGGGAAAAGCTTGGAGTTGCCGGGTTTTTTTAGCAATAAGCACCTGTTTTTAGTTCTTTGTTCACGTTAAGCAAAGTTGTTTTGCAGCCTTTCATTTCTGTGACGAAACTGAATGCCTTTGCCCAACAAACTTCAGTTTACTCTGAGTACCTGCCGATACATCAGTATCTAAGAGGGAATTGTACTGACGGCAAAAGAAAAGATCCAGCTATCCGTTGGTCTGTTAGGGTTTCCTTTCTGTAAAACATTATTCTTGGTGATATAAATAAAGTGTTTCCTGTCTTGTTCCAGAGAAATTTGGCTCCCAGGTGTGTTTTCTCTGCCCTCATTTCCTCTTTCCATACTGTTTCTCCTCTTTGTTAATCTTTTTGTCTTACCTGTGTGTGAGTTTTGCTTCTTTTTGCTACTTAGCTCTTTTTGTTCTACGTTTGTGTCTTTTTGTTGTTGTGAAGATGTTTTGTTTTTCTGCCCTTCTTTGATTTTTGTCTCACTTAGGGGCACTCTTAGGAGTTTGGGGCCTGCTGTGACCTCCTGCTTGCTCATCTTCTTCCCACCTTGCAGTGGGTCTGGGGCCAAGTCCAGTGTATCCTCCTCCCTCATTAGCAGCTAACTGTCCCTGAAGTGACTCTTTGACTCTTCATCTGCTGCCTTCTCCCCCACTTCCTTCCCTTGCAGGGTATTCCAACGTTTCAGATCCAGTGTACTTTGAACTGTTGAACATGTTTATAGTCAGTCATTATTCATGGCCTGAAGTGGGACACTGGGAGGGAATGTTTCCTTTTTAAGAATCTGCTTGTTAACTGGCCCCAATAAAATGAGTCCACATTTCCTCTTGTAACATCCATATGGTTGTATATCTTAGAGTTAAAATGAATTCATGTTCTACTCCAAATAAAAGTATTTTCTGCCCCTATAGACATTTTTTTTAGTGTTTTATTGTGAATTATATGATAGTTTGCATGGGAGAACATTAGTTTTACATCCATTCTATTGTACATCGTATCATTGCCATGGTTACAATCCCCTCCATGCATCATTAACCAACCAAAAGGTATACCCTGCAAGCTTGCCACCTACACGATCCCCTCCCCACCATCCAGTCTTCAGCACACAGCCCCTCTCCCTCTCTATATCTAAAGTCCCCAGCTGCTTCATCGCTCCACGTCATTGTCTCTGCCTCCATCTCAGGCATCACTGTTTCTCTGGGTAGGGTCCCGCTCTCAGCTCTTCTCTGTTGGTGGTCCTAGGGACCTCTGCTCCTAGACTGAAAAGTTAATCACTTCCTTCCTTGCTATAAAATGTCTACCTTTACATTTCCAACCTTCACAATCGGTCCTGATAACAATTATTCGCCATTGTATCACAAGAGACCCATCTGCATTTCATTTCATCAACTCTGCCTAGGCAGATTGGATGCTACTCACTGGAGAGTCTGCCTTCCTCCAGGCCCCCTGTCTCTAGGTTCCCTCTTGAAAGCTTGTAAGCCAGTCACTTCTTGCCTTTGTAGCCCCTCACCCTCCATTTTGGGTAGCCAATGTCCAAGTTGCCCGTCCCTGTCTACTCTGTGTGTGGAGGGGGTGGGAATGAGTCTTGCTGTAAGAATTTGTTCCCTCTTTTGACCTACTGCTTCCATAGGTGTAGGTCAAGTCCATAGACATTTCTTATTAAAACTTCCCTTAGAAATTGAAATGCCTGTAACTTTGATTGACTTACATAAAGACATTTCTTCAAAACATTATTATCCTTTTAGTTTTAGTTGTTAAATTCTCTGAATAATTACTCAGAACATTTTAAGTTTTATAGAAAATTCTTGTTTTTCTCCCCCTTTGGGCTTCGCTCAGATGATAGAGTTGACACAGTGCTTCACACTTGGGCTCCATGAGGTCTGAAGCCCCTCCACTGCCTTCCCCATCTCGCTCCGCCTTCTTGACCACCCCATCGAAGTAGGAGCATTTGGCAGGCTATGTGGGGACTACAGCTGGCCGAATGCCTTGTGATTTCCAGAAAATATGGGTTCCCATCTTAGGGTTATTCCTGCTGGGGCGGCAGGTATGTAAGGGGAAGAATGTCTCTTTCCCCACACCCACCCCAAGTTTTAATTCTTTCAGATCTTAAGTCTGCATTCGCTTCCTGTTGCTGCTTGGAGAAACTGCCATGAACTTGATAGCTCTAAGACAACATCTATTTTATAGTTCTGTAGCTTACAAGTCTTACAGGCTAAGAACCAGGTATTGGCTGGGGCCACCTTCCTTCTGGAGGCTCCACCAGAAAGAGCTGGAGCGCGCCCAGGAGTCCATTGAAGGCAATGGTATGCAGGGGCTAAGGTGTCCACCACAGTGTGACTTTCTTTCCTCAAGGGAGATGTGTACAAGAAGGGTGGGAAGGAGGTGGATGGTGGCCTGAGATTTCTGAGGTGGCAAGGAAGCATGAGGGAGGGATCTGCTTCAGAAACAGTGGAAGAAACCACAGGAGTGGGGGCCTTCCTACTGAATGAGGTGCTTTCTAAGCCTCCCATCATGTCGCTGAGTTAAGTCTGCAAGTTCTAACCATTCCCACATCCAGGTGGAGATGGCTTTGTGCTTTGCAGCTTTTGTGGGTAATGGGCCACCAGGCTTAAAGTGGCCTCCAGATGAATGGGGAAAGAGCAAAGGAAACCCCTCAGAGTCCTGATAAGAATGTCAGCTATTCTTAGTCTCATCAAAAGAGATCCGAAAGAAGCCAACACCAAAGACTACGTACTATCTGGTCCCATTTCTGTGAGAAGTTCAGGCTAGGTAAATTTCTGTGAGAAGTTCAGGCTAGGTAAATCCATAGAGACAGCAAATGAGTTTTTGTCAGAGGTTAGGAATTGACTACTGACAGGTACAAGGTTTCTTCTGGGAGTGATGGAAATATTCTGGAATGATACAGTCAGTGGTGATGAGTGAATTACTATGAGTGAATTAGAAATCACTGAATTGCACAACTTTTAAAGGGTAAATTTTATGGTATATGAATTACATCACAAGGCATTTGTAGATAGGGAGATTGGCTGTGTGTTAAACCCCAAAAAATATATTCTAGAAAAACCCACTTTCAAGGCCAAACTGCCTATTCATATTCCTCTCAAGTGAAGGCCAGAAAATCTAGTGCTAGGCCTTTATACAATTTCCTTTGAAAACAAGTATGGGGTTGATGGGTCTGTATACACTTCTTTGCCTCCTGAGAGGCATGCAGGACATAAGGAATAAGTGTGTAACAATATTGTGATCTAAGCAAAAGTGGCTAGTAAGCAGAAACCAGAGACAGCAGAGAGAAAACGATGTTAAGAAGAAAGCAAACCAGAGCCAGGTCGTCTGTACAAAACTTCACATTCTGGAATTTTTTTGCTATGTCAATCTTCACCTTTCCAGATGGTAGTGAAAAATCATAGGTTGTAAAGTACGTAGCCCTGTTTTTCTCTTGGTGTGTATGTACCCTTTTCACTTAGATTTACTACTTTCAGTGGAATGATTTAATAAGTCATTTTGGAGATCAACTTGAGTGCAGGGGGAGTTCCACCAGCCAGCAGATTCTGTTTACTGTTTGCTTTCCTTGGTAAAAGTGACTTCTGACAATTTCAGGTCGTCAGCCTTCATTAGTTGTTTGGTATCCAGAAAAGAATTGGGTGTGAGATGGTTGTTTGTGAGCCATATAGGAATAGAACCTGTTAGTATCCAAGGAACCTATTAATATCCAAACCCTGGTGTGGCACTGAGGCCTGGTGTGACACTATAGGATAGGCATCCAGACTGGTAACCATGAAGTCGGCAGTTCAAACCCACCAGCCACTCCTCAGAAACAATAACAACTTTGTTGTAGAGGATCCGTGTAGTGAGTCGACCTAGTCTGCCATCTTATTGGAAGTCTGGTGTCCTCAAATGCTTCTTGTTAGAGTTGTGTGCTGGTGGGGCGGTTCTGACTTACAGCAACCCTGTATGGGGTTTCTGAGGAGTGGTTGGTGAGTTTGAACTGCTGAACATATGGTTCAAACTGACCTTGTGGTCCAGTGCTTATCCTACTGTGCCACACCTGAACTCCACAACAAAGAGACGAGAGACCAAATAAATAGACAGATGAAAATTCTGGAACTCTAAACTTCAGAAGAAAGGTTAGAGGAGTAGATTGATTGAGTGCCTGTTGGGAGAAGACGCTGAGCAGGAACAGTGAGAGAGGGAGATGACCAGTGAATGGCCATGCACACGTGCACGACTATCTTGAACATTTGTGAGCACTCTGGTAACAGAAGGTGACCTGGCAAAGCAGAGTGACCCAGGCAATGAGAAAGGCACAGTTCCTTCTTTCCCCGCATGCTCCCCTGGTGACCAGAGGTGTGGCCAGCTCCCAATCTCATCCATCCCCAGCAAAGACCCTGTCATCTGGGAGATCTGAGCCACGTGGATGGGAACCATGCCAGTGTGAGGCAGGGCCTGGCAGTGCCGCTTTGGTGAGCCATTTTGATGCCTGGATTCAGGTGAGCTCGGCTTAGGATCCACAGAACTCACAGAGTCACCAGACCAGCATTCACCAGTCACCCTGCCCCCAGCTCTCCTGTGGTCCTAACAGATGCTGAAAGCAGCTCCATCAAGGAGTTCCTTGAACTACTGGAATGCATGCCCTGAACACAGATACCGCCAAGATTGATAGGAATCCCATCGAGGGCCAGGAACTCCGCTGTCACGTCCCTCCCACACCTGCCTCATGAGATCCTTGGTTTGCAGGAGCCCCATAAAGTGTTCTCTCCAGGTC